TAATAGTTACTCATTGTATTCTAAATAAAAAATAAAATAGAGAAGAGCACCACCATCTCACACCAATCTCCATTCCAATTGCAAACAAATATAGAAGAAACAAAATCAAACCTCAACACCTCCAGAAACTATCGAAATAAAAAGGAAAAAGAAAATACAGAATTACAATAGAGTAGGCACAATGAAGACAACCTCAATAGTCAATAATACTTAAATTGCAAAACAGAGGGAGTTCTTGTAAAAAAATAAACATAAAAAAAAGAGAAATAGATCACATCAAGTGATGAGAATAAAAATTATCATATTTTTATCCCCAAATATTCAGTCTTTTATACTGAATTAGTACTTATTTGGACTCATATTTCTTGTATTTCGGTTCAGAGCATGAAATAAGGCATTAGGAGAAAAGCAAAGCAAATCGGATGATTTTTCACAGTTTCGGCACTGTTCAGTAATCTGGGCCTAACTCTCATATCTGATATCCGATTAGGCTGATTCAAGACTCACTGGAAAGATTAGAGAGGAAGCTACAACTTTCATGTTTTGGGATTTCACAGATTCGGCCAGCATCGAAGTAAAATCCGGGCCCGAAGTCGGGGAAAATTCGTAGGAAGGCCCAATTCACAGCTGAAGCCCAACTTGCAGAAAAGCTTTGCAGCAGCCTAATTTGGAGAGGAAGCCTAATACGAATGCAAGAACAAGAAACTGAGAAGAGTCCTACCATATTTAAATTTGTGATGTAATCTTAGAAAGATAAAGAGATAAGAGTAGGATTAGACTAGGACTTTCTATTTTTGAAAGATAAACTCCAAGAAGGAGTTGGAGACCACCCCCTCCCCTTTAAGCTATATAAAGGGATGGGGGGCGGACTAGAGAGGKATCAAGAAGCAGAGGAGCAATCAATCAAGAAAGCAAGAAGACTGCAAGAAGAAGGTGGCGGCAAGGAGAAGAGGAGACCTCAGCTCTAAGGGCGACACCATGAGTTCTTTCTTTCCTCTTGTTTATTTTATTTCCTCTAGTATGAACTGATTTATTTGTAGGTAGGACTATGGAAAGCCTAATCATAACAATGAATATATTTTTATTCTGATTTATCCAAGATCGTGATTTCCATATAGTCTATGAGTTATCTTGCTTAATGCTATTAGGAGTGACCATCTCTTAATTGATTAGGTTTATGTGAATGAATCGAGAGAGGAATTCATATAGCAGACCACATAATTCATGGTGTGAATTGAATGGTATATAGGGGTATATACACATGATTCATCTGAATGTAATAATTTTTCCTTGAACTTAATGCACTTCTACCTTGAGAACTCTAGTCGAGAGATCGAAGGGTTACCTGATAGAAGTAGTTTTAGTATATCTCAAGAGAGAATATTAAATAAAATTGGAAAGACTTCAGCTTATGGTAATGACAAATTATCTTGGATAATCTCATCTATTACTATTCATTGGAATGGTTAGGCGGACCAAAGGTCCTAGCGAATTCAATCAATCGTTGCATACTGCAACATTGGTACTCTTACTCTTGTTTTTTTTTTGTCTTTCAGTAGCCTTTACTCTTAAATCTGAAATTCGATTGTCCAAATAATTAGGGAATGTTGTAGTTCTAATACTTATTTTGTTAAATCCTCATGGAAACGATATTTTTATACTACTTGATAACTAGTGCACTTGCTAGGGTTATAATCATAGCTATTATCAAGCTGGGAAAAAACAAAGTAATTTGGAAAAGAAAAATAACATACGAAAAACCATCTATCCTAATCGACAATCTTAAATCAGACAAACATATGAACTTGAATAAAAATGCAGAAACAAGAGGAGACCTACAAAACACCAAGAGAAACACATGCGTCAAATCAACTTGAATAGAAATGCATAAGGAAGACAAACAAAGGAAGAACCCTAAAAAACACATTCATGAAACCGAGCAAACATAAGGAAGAAGCATACTTGTTTTCTAGGCCCATCACTAATCAGTTCCCACCCTTGAACTACATTTGTACCACAAACAAAAGAGAAACCTACAAACATAGAATGAAGAAATTACCCACATGCTCTATGGTCACAGGAGCCACCCTTGAACTCCATCTATACCAGAGAATGAAAGGGAATCTTGCAAACATAGAATGAACAAAAGGGAAACCTACAAAATAGACAAAGAAGCATGTGAACAAAAAAAGACAAAACAAATAGCAAAGGAGATCAAGTTAAATGGTAAAAAGACAAGTAAAATGAAAAACAACTAAAACCCTAAACTCAAATCAAACCACCATTGTAACCCAAACTTGAAGAATACTTCAAGGAACACCCTAAAAAGAATGAAAACCTGAAAAAAAAAGAAAATGGAAACATTACTGTCGTTGCAATGAAAAGCAAATCAAATAAACCACATAACTAATTCAAACAACAACTTTTCCAAAACATTGCAAGTAATAAGGATAAAAAGCCTATGGATTCTTCTAAACTAAGAGAGGAAGAGATGAGAAAGAAATGATGGTTGATATAAGTGAGGGATGTCATGCATTCTCGAGGAAAGGAATATTGTAGGGAAAAAGTGGGAGAGAGATGGTAGAATACTCTCAAACTAGATAAAAACCATCAAGTGTTAAAGAGAGTTATATAAAATAATACAAAAATAGCATTGTCATCAATTATAAGTGGGAACACATGACATTTCAAAAATCTATTAGGAACTAACACATGACCCAACTAACCACATCAAATGGTTCAATAATTTAATTAGCTAGGTCATTGTAGGCAAGTGGTTTGGTAGGGATGCAAACAAATTAGATCATATTTGAATTAGGGTAAAAAATAAAGAGCATTAATGTCTAACACATGATCTCACTCATCATGTCAAATGGTTCAATGGTTTAATTAGCTAGGTCATTATAGGAAAGTGGTTTGGTAGGGATGCAAATGGATTGGATCAGATTTGAATCAGGGTATATTCGAATTTGATTCGATTTGAACATCTGATCAGATCTCATAAATACTGATTCGAATCTGAATCTGATCAAGATGTGGGATATCCGAATCTGATATGATCCGATTTAATTAAAAAATTAATAATAAATTATTAAAACGAAAAGAAAATATAATAGTTAAAATAAAAAAACAAAATATAAGGATTTTTTCAACCATTTTCATCATATAAGAAGTTTACAAAAATGCAATATAAATAATATATTTATAAACAAATAATAAATAACATATATATTATATATAAATGATACACTTATATAAATAATTGATTTGACCACAATATTAAAAACCAATATTCAAACAATATATTGAAATTGCATTTCCTCTTGGTAAATAAGTGATTTTTATTATCTCATAAATTAAATAATAATAAATAAAAAATATATTTTTTATAAATTTTATAGAAAAATTTGAACATGCATTAATATTATATATTCTTCATATTAAACAAAAATATGTTTGAAGAAATAAGAATTATTGTATTATTGTTAGTAAAGATGGAAATGGCTAAAATATGAAGAAAAAAAATGAATTAATGTCTTAATCATAGTCCATTTTCTTGGTTAACTAGGTTAATGGTTCAACCAATAAGGTCATATAGTTGCTGACTATCATCGTCATTATCATTTGACATTGCCACGTGCAATACGCATACACTTTTACTAGTATATATATATATATATATATCAGATTTGGTCTGAATCGATTCGACACTAGGTGGAACTGGTTCCGAACTGATATTAATGGGAACCCTATATCAAGATCTAAAATGACTTGTTGATTCTAGTACCTAAAACTAAAACTGACCCAATCGGTTTGGGTCTGTCGGGTTGGACCTGACCCATTAACAGCCCTACAAGGAGAGATTATTTTTTATCTATAACTAGAGTTTGGAGATGGTTGTTTCATACATTTGTTAAAGCTTGTATATATTAAAGAAAAAACTTAATTGTTTAATATCATGATCAATTTGAGAGAACATATGATATGACCTGTTCTAATTTATTTACATCCTTTTTGACTTGAGAACTTAAAACTTCAAAAAGATAAAAGCCTTTTTGCAAGTATAGTTAAATTAATTTTGAAGTAGAGTCTGTAAAATATATGAGTGATTCATAAAAGTTCTATTTGACATAATTCGATCACTTGTTTGAAATAATAATTGTGTCCTTTGTATCCATTTTATCCATTGAAATTTGAACTTTGAACTTGTTGATTAAAAGTTGAATAATTATCATTTCATTTTTTCAAACATATTTCTCTACCGAAATAAAATTAGGCTTTTACCATTATTATAAATTTAATAATTAATTATTTTTATTTACAAGTAAAGAATTACTATAGGGCTCAGTTTGGGAAGAGTACAAATGCAAATGTAACGTGTAAATACATACAAAATACAAAGCTTTACCTGTACATATTTGTATTTGCACTATTTCCAAACTGAGCCTAAGGCCATATTTGGTTATAAATATATTTGCACTGATGTAAATGATTTGGGTGCAATTTTGATTTATTTTTATTTCAAATTTTATCTTATTTTGCTTAATTGCAATACAAAAGAAGTAAGATAAGACCTGGAACAGAATAAAATAAAATCCAAAACAAAATTAAACCAGAATTTGCATTCTTTTCATTTACACTCTTATACATTTACATTTGTACTAGTGCAAATAAGATTGCAATGCAACCAAACGCAGCCTAAACAGAACCTTTCAGTTAGTGGGAGTCAAGCGGTGGAACTCACAAAGTCTTGGTGCCCAGCAAAAACGCAACGATCGTCAAAGTCCTTTGGCAGACAGATAAGGAAGATAACGAACTCAGTGTTAGTCAGTCAGTCAACTATATTTGTCCGGTCAACGACACCTTCAATTCTATAACGTATCCAAATTCCAACAAATTAAAGACCACAAGTCCCAATACATTTTTGCCCTCCTTCATATGCTTTTTCTTCTTCTTCTCTGTTGTGTCGATACGTGGAGTAGAGCAAGTTAGGCTATAAGATGAGCAGGTACGTTCATGGGTCTTCTGTGCTCCTCATTTTCTCATACTTTACTATTGTGTTGTGTCAACTCCCTCCAACCCAGAGGAAAGCCATAGCCAATCTCTCCACTCTGTTTAATGAAGAAAACCAAGACCCTTGCTCATGGAAGCGAGTCACTTGTACCAAAGACAATAGGTCCATAACCCATATTTCCCTATCTGCTTTGAGCCTTTCCACTTCTGATTTCCCAAATGGTGTATGTCAGATTTATTCTCTACAGCTTCTTGATGTCTCCAACAATCTTCTGAGCTCCATCCCACAAGAGTTTCTCAGAAATTGCAGAAGGCTTACTGGCTTAAAGGCATTGAATTTTAGTAGCAACTCTTTGTCTGGTATATTACCTTCTTTTGATGGTTTTGGTGGGTTGCAGACCTTGGACTTGTCTTCTAATTCGTTGGGAGGAAATATTACTTCTCAGTTTGATGGATTGATTGGACTCAGAAGCCTGAACCTAAGCAAAAATACATTTACTGGGTTTCTTCCAACCAACCTTGGTAATTCCATGGTTTTGGAGGAATTGCAGCTCTCTTCCAATAAATTCATTGGTGGAATACCTAAGAAACTTATGGATTACAGAAATCTTACTTTACTTGATCTCAGTATTAATAAGCTTTCTGGGCCTGTTACAGATAGGATAGGGAAGCTCTCCAGGTTGGAAACGCTCCTCCTGTCTGACAATAATCTGAGTGGAGTTATTCCTGAGAATATATCTAGAATGGAGACCCTACGGTGGCTTGGTGCAAATCAAAACCGGTTTTCAGGTACAATTCCTCATGGAATTTCAAGGTATGTGAGGCAATTGGACCTTAGCTATAATGGGTTAAATGGGTCGATTCCCTCAGATTTTCTGTCACCTCCAAATTTGCAGTTTGTTGATCTATCTTACAATTCGCTAGAGGGGGCAATTCCAACAAATGTTTCCCATAGTCTGACCAGATTGCGACTAGGGAGCAATTTTCTCAATGGAAGCATCCCTTCTTTAGCTGGTGGATCACTCAGGAAATTAACCTATCTTGAGCTCGACAATAATACATTAAGTGGGGCAATTCCCCCAGAATTGGGAAGCTGCAATAGTTTATTGTTGTTGAACCTTGCACACAATAAGCTGATAGGTCCATTTCCAAAAGAATTGGGTAATCTTCAACATCTTGAGGTTCTTAAGCTACAATCCAACAGCCTGGTTGGAGAAATTCCTGATCAATTCTCCGGGTTACAGAACTTGTTGGAATTGAACATAAGCAAAAATTCATTTTTTGGTTCAATCCCATCAGTAGTTTCTAGCTCTAAGAGACTCGAAAGATTCATCTTAAATGACAACAAGTTCAGTGGTTCAATACCTGATTCAGTCGGGGTTCTGGAACATCTGCTGGAACTCCAGCTGGGAAACAACAGGATAAATGGGAATATTCCAATGATGCAAAATGACCACCTACAAACACTCAACCTCAGCAGCAACCTCTTTGAAGGACCCATCCCTGTAACTCTTAACCGACTACATGGTTTAGAGGTTCTAGATCTGTCAAACAACAACTTTTCTGGTGAGATCCCAATATATCTGACTCATCTAGGGAGTCTTTCAAAGTTGTTGCTTTCCAATAATAATCTCTCAGGAACCTGTCCAAATTTTACTCAACCAGGGATCTTGCTCAACACTACTGGAAATAAGGATTTAATAACAACTCCAACACCTTTGAACCCAACAAACTTGAGCCCTACCCATACTTCGCAGACGAGAAGAAATTCAGATACAGTCATAATTGTTGTTGCAGTTGGCAGTGCTGTAGTTGCTGTTGGGATTATTGGAGTGATTCTTATATTAGTCGCAAGACGCTGCTATAGAATCCATTATGAGAGCCCAATACCTGAAAACCAATTCCCCTTCCCCCGGGTAATCAGCTATCATATGATGACAACAAGTGTGATTCACAGATCATGTATTGACTTCAGTGCAGCCATGGGAGCAGTTGTTAGTCCTGCCAACATCTTGTTGAAGAGCAGATTCTGTACCTATTATAGGGCCATTATGCCTAATGGGACAAGTTATTATGTGAAAAAGCTCAACTGGAGTGGATTCTTATCCCAACTGGGGAGACGTGAAATGTTTGAAGAAAAGCTAGAGGTCCTAGGGAGGCTAAGAAACTCAAATATCATGATCCCTCTGGCCTTTGTTTTGACTGATAATTGTGCTTATCTCATCTATGAATATTTTCAGAAGGAAACTCTCTTCAATCTTCTTCATGGAAGCTCGGGAAGTTTTTTGGATTGGGCAAGCCGTTACAGCATAGCTATTGGTGTAGCTCAGGGTCTGGGTTATCTCCATAGTTGTGCCACTCCTGGGCCGATTCTCATGCTTGACCTTTCAACTAAAAACATCCTACTGAAATGCCTGGAGCCCCAGATTGGGGATATTGAGCTATGTCATGTTATTGATCCTTCAAACAGCATGGGGAGTCTTTCAACAGATAATTGTTCTGTTGGGTACATTCCTCCAGGTGAAGCACTCTTTAACATTTTATTACCTTCATCACTTGTTTTCATTGTTTGTTTGACTAATTCTGTCATGGTTTTCAGAGTATGCCTACACAAAGAGGGTGACAATGCCTGGGAATGTCTACAACTTTGGTGTTGTCCTTCTGGAGTTGCTGACTGGAAAACCAGCAGTTAACGAAGGGATTGAGTTGGCTAGGTGGGTATTGAGTAATTCAACACAACGTGAGACCTGGGATAAGATCCTTGATCCTAATATCAGCAAAACATCAGCTAGAGTTCGAGGTCAAATGCTATCAGTCCTAAAGATTGCTCTAGCTTGTATTAGTGTCTCACCAGAAGTGAGGCCAAATATGAAGAATGTGCAGAAAATGCTGTTCAATGCCAAATGCAGATAAGTGCAATGGGGATTTACTTAATGGTAAGAGTAGCTGTCAGCTACGTCCCAAACATTCATCAACGATGGGTAAATTACTTCCATCTACCATGAAAACATAATGTATGCACCAAACTTGTTTTCTTTTGTAACTCATTGCTGATTTAAGTTCTAGTTTTCTTCATTTTACTCATGCTTTCATGAACTCTATTAATGAAAAGAAGACAATAGTAATAACAATTCTATCTATTTCAGTACTCTGTCTCTACAAGCCCCATTGCTACCAACTGTATATATATGATTCCTTTCATTCCATTCCTGGAGAAGTCTTCTTATTTGCTTGCTTTGATTCAGAAACTAAAGCAGGATAACACAACTTCTCAATGCTTCAGCCATCTTTTGTGGATGGAAATCAAAAATATTTATGGGAAACAACATTTTTGTAAACATTTCAAGTACCAGTCAGTTGTATGGATTAATTCCTTTTTCTAGGTCCATTAGAATTGAACTTTAGATGCTTTTGTTAATGCTTTAGTAGACTGCCATGTGATCTGAATACAGGTAAATGATAAGCTGATATGAAATGCAGGAATAGTTCTCTCCACCATCATACCGACTTGACTTGAATGGGTATCTTGTAGTGCCATATGTATTAAATTAATGAGGTTAATAGAGGCAAATGCTTCCGTCGGTGGGAATTGATGGTTTGGAAGCAGGGGTGTCAATTGAACCGGATAAGGTCCAATTCAATCCGATGAATACTTTGGACCATTTTAGACTGGTCAAATTCAACGTTTGGATGTCCAATCTGTTCAAATTGGTTTTAATTTAGATTGGTCCCAACCCAAACATCATCCATCGACACATGTATTCTTATCTTCTATCAACGGGCTGGATATTGGTTCAATCCGACTCAATCCAATATAAATTTATTAAGGATGGACAGGTTCAATCTAATCCAGTATACTTTGGACCATTAAGTCTGAATTAATCCAATTCAATGTGTCTTATTGGCAGGTCCAAATCCGTCCAAATTGATTTTGATTTGGATGGGGTCCAACCCAAAACTGGTGCATTGACACTCCTATGTGAAACTGGAAGCGAGGATTTCTTGGACATGGTTTGAAAATACAGTAATCTCAAATGGGCAGTTTAGTAATTCTATCTTTTCCATAAATTCTATCAGCGGAATAGGGGTGAAGTGTCAGAATATGAAAATTGAGGGGGTGTTTGTGGAAAATGAAAACTTGGGGGGCTAACTGTCATTTCTCACTACCCGATAAGGCTCAGTTTGGAAGGAGTACAAATACAAATATGTAGAGTGCAAAATCATGTATTTTTGTATTATTTTGTATGTATTTTCCCTGTACATATTTGTATCTGTACTCTTTCCTAACTGAGCCTAATCTAAAGTTTACCCAAGATTTCAACAAGTAGAGACCTTTGTGCGTGTATATAATTTGAAAGTGTTGATCATTTGAATCACTAGCAATATTTGACACTATATATGAATACGAATCAAACACGACACAAAATTAGTGGGTTTGAGTTTGTGTTAATTGTGTTCATGTCAAAAATTATGTCAATCCATTTAACAAATTAACACAATTAATGAATGTGCCAATTTTGGATTAACCCACGTAAGTCAAAAGTAATTAGTTATAACCCAAAGTTTCAAGTAAATCATATGTTTATATTTGGATGAAATACTATTATAGTAAGTGAGGATAACATTAAATGGTTTTTATGAATTTGTTTAGATAATGGATGATTGAATGTTTTTTTTACTATATAAATTTTGTTATTTTTTAATTTAAACAGATTAATTGTGTTAATTCACATTACCCGTGTGATAAACAAATTGTGTTTGCATTTAAAATTTTGGCATGATTAAATTAATCATGTCATATTCATGTCCATCCATAAATTTGAATATCTCTAATTCTCTATATTGATTCGACATGAACAAGGCACAAAAACACGAATTACCACCCCTAAAACCTCTAATAAAGATTGGAAGCTTATTCTTTAAGAAAAATTGGAGTCTTAAAAGATCCACACCTCTCTAAAGCCGATTGGGTGACTAGCTAGTTTTTATATGTATTTATATAAACCTTTGAAAGAATCCCTCATTAATGATGAAGCTAAGCTAGAGACTTCTTGTTGGATTTTAATCTCATAAGAGATTAAATCCAATGAGTTTGATTGATCAATTACATGAGAAATTGCACCTGCACACTTGATTGAAAATATGTTTTTCTCTTATAAAACCCAGTTTTGAATTTGTCACACATTGGATAATTATAAGTTTTGTTTTCAGTATTTCAATAGGAGCTGATTTACACTCCTTAGAATTAGTAGAGGAGAATATGGAGATTTGATATCGCGCAATGCGCGCGCACGCATGTGTGTGGCGCAATGAGGCGCACTTTAAAATACTTATATGAAAGATGAAAGATTATATTAAGAAAGTAGTTGAGAAATTTAAGCATTTAGGGTTTAAAGAATATAGCACGCCATATGATTCTAGTATAAAGCTAGTAGAAAATACTAGTAGTGCAATTGCACAACTTGAGTATACTAGTGCAGTAGGAAGCTTGATGTATGCTATGCTTTGTACCAGACCTGATATTGCATTTGCAGTAAGTAAACTCAGTCGGTTTACACGCGGGTGTGGCGCAGGCTTTGGTTTTGGTGCGTTGCTAACCGTTGATCACCGTTGATGAGATCAACGGTCACGATTCGATCTGGTGTGATCAAGAGGCACAATTCAAAGTTAACAGTCACTAACTGTTAACTACTTTTTAAACAGTCACAATGCAAATTGTAACTGTTCAAGGTGCCTTCTCTAAACCATCACCTACCTTTTATTCATACCTCTTCACAAATTATTTAAGGAGCATGAATCAGACTCCAAAACACAATTTCGAAATTCACTCTCTCTCTCTCTCTCTCTCAGTTCGGTCTGCTACAGTCTCACAGAAGGTTTCTTTGAAGACTCTTCAACTTTGCTGGTTGCAGATTCTCGCCCAAGGCTTTGTTGTATCCTGGGAACGAATTTGCCTATAACCCAATAACAAAGTCAATAAAATTGAGTGGGGGCAAATAACGTTCTAAAAACAGTGTCTTCAGATGCGGCTCAGAGCTTCTCCTCCAAAGTTACAGTGACCCCATTTTCTCCAACACTGCTAACCTAGAGCCAAGACTGAGTTCAATTAGATCAGGAGCAAATTCATACAAATTAATTCAAGTGTAATTAATGATAACATTAAAAGTACTTTTCATCCAATCCTAACAACTCACCTTTTTGATAAAAATACAACAAAGTTTATAGTGTTTTTACTTGCAAGCAAGGTTAAAAATTCTGTCACCTATCAGCCAGTATTGGTCAATAAAAACTTTTGGCTTCCTTTATAAAAAGTGCAAACATATAGGCTGGGTTTGGAAACGATACAAATGGAGTGTAAATCCCAGTATAGAGTAAATTTGCACTCTGGTTCACTTTTGCCTGTGTTTGGCAACATTACATTTATATATTGATAAATGGCAGAAAACATATTTTCCAATGCATATTTACATTGATAGTAAGATGTAAAAGTATATCAATGAAAGAGAAGTAAACTTGCATTCAAGTGGGCTTTTGATAAAAAAAAAAAGGCAAATGTTTTATTAGAATTTGTGTTTGTATTCATAGCAGCTAAAAATCTGTTTGGTAAGAAGGTTTGTGTTTGTATTCTAATCAAACTTTGCAATTTATATGAACCATTTTACATTCTACATATTTGCATTCACACTTATTTACATCGTTTCCAAGCGCAGCCATAATTACATATATGCACTCTAGTTCAGTATTTGGAAGCATCTTGTAGAAACATGTGTATTGAAAATGACATGTATATGCATTTGCATTCAAAATGAGAGTAAAGTTTGTATCCAAAAATAATAAATACAAATTTAGTCAATGTAAAAAAGATAGATTCTAGTGTAGGAACTGTTTTTTCACCCATCACAACCAAAACCGTTTGTTTCATAAGAATACAAAACGAAGCCTTTGTTTCAGAGGTAGAATTGTCTTGATCTCATGGTATTAACCATTGAGAAAGCAACAGTTTTTTCTAAGCACAGAGTCATGAAAGGCACATTCCAACTGCTAGTTGGAGATGCACCTTCAGATTTCAGCTTTATACTCTACTACCAGGTGGCATTTGTATGCATTATTGAACAAAAAATGGAGAAAATCGTCATTAACATATATGACCAAGGACATGATGGAACTAAGATGTTGAGCCCAACACCTAACACCACATGATTATCCTTTTAAACCCAACAGGCGTTACATTTAGTGCCCGTTTGGGAGGGCTTTCGCGCGAAGCTATGTTTAGTAACTTCTCCAAAGTGGCTCAGTCGATACAGCTCAATCAATATAGAAGCCCTATCAATTAGGCCATTGATGCTCATTTGGGAGAGCTGAGGCACAGTGGATTCTGACTTTCTGAGTTAGGCTATACACAGACAGCCTTTTAATCTATGTATAGTTAAAAAAAAAAAAAAAAATCCGAAGAACCCAGACTTTGGCTGTTTGAGAAAGCAGCTTATGCTGTTTTAAAGCTTAGTGCATGAATTGTTAGCATGGGTGTATGGTAAAAGAATAATTACAATTAATTTTCTTTTAATTAAAAAGACAAATTAGGGGCTAAGTGGGCAAACAATAAAAGCCTTTTTTTTTCCGAAATAGACATCAGTCAGGTAATTTTTCAAGCTGTATATAGCCTATCTGGAGCGCCTCAAAACAATTGAACCAGCTTGGCTGAATACTCAGCATAGCCCTTATGATTTAATTGCCCATGGTTACCTATAACAATGATGTGAGATCATACTAACCTTTGTAATTCGGTTTCCTAACTAAATTAAAAAGATATTCCATAAAAGACTTTCGGTCCCAATACGTCATCAACTATGATTAATTTCGCAATTCAGATTTACCCCATTAACGGTGAAACTCAATTCTCAAACAAAATAATAGAAAAAGTTTCTCCATACGGGTGGTCATTTCCAACTTTCAAACATATATTAGAAGATGATGAACGAGTTGGACTACAAGTTAGTCATCTGTGAATGAATCCTTAACTAGTCAATTAAGTTAAAAGTTCTACCTCTTTCCCCTTGCACTTCTTATCCTCCATTTTACTTTTAATAACTTATCATGCATATCTATCTATATCTGTTAGCTCTTGGCTCCTAGCCATGACTGACAACTTGCAGATGAGCTTCTACTAACATGTACTAAAAGATTTCAAGTCCCTTCAGGCAGGCAGATAAAACAAACTAATAGTTAACTTAAACTTAAACAGCTTGACCTTCGATGTCATAAACAAAAAAGAAGTTTGTATTATTTACAGTAATAATAAGTTTTCATATGTACAACATGGCTATTTACATTAAAGAATTTGCATGTATATACAGAAAAAAAGAAAAAGAAAACATCCTTTCACCATTTATGTCCCCCCTTTTGAAAAGAGAGCAAGGCAGGATGCAGGAGCAGAAGACATCAAATGAGGAAATTGGGGCGTGATGCCCTGAGAGACTCTCCCATGTTCGCCACTTTGTTTCCGTTTTCATGCCCTCGTGAATTGCTGTCTCCACAAAAGCTGATCCTTCCAATCTTCCTTTTTCCCCCCCTTCGGTGGGCACTGGGCATCCTCCCAAGCTTCCATTCACAAAACCAGCTGATCTGATAAGCTACTCTCCCCGTTCTTTACTACTTTCTGCTCCTCTTTTTATATATTTTCTTTCATCTAAACAAGATAGTCCTCAAGCTAAATAGTGGTAGTAGCAGCAGCAGAAGCATAGGGCCAATCTGATATCCCTTGATCTCAGTTGTTTTGTAGGGAAGAAAGCCACTGTTCTATATACTTTTTGCCATCTGCAAATAAACCAAGATGCAAGGCATGACTTAGCATCTGCAAATAAAACGGTTGAAGACAAGTCCATAGTTCATGCAGCAGTAAGATTTAGAAACCATTCAGCGGTAATAATAAATAAGCACAGGAAAAAAGAAAATCTCCAAGGATACATTAATCACGAAAATAAGATATGGAAAAAAGGTTCACTAGTGGGGTCAAATAGGGAGCTTCTCTCACGAACCCACCCATTCCTGCCATGTGTAGGGATCTTACGGCCAATCCACACCACATCCATCATAGGAAGCCTATTGGATTGGTAACATGTTCAATCCCAGGATTCACCACCTTAGATTGGTAGTTTTCATAATTAAGTTAGCTGTTCAAAGTTTTAGTTTTTGAATATAATTGTTACCTATAAAATTGGCTTATTTTGCACAGATAGGTGTTCTAGGACAATTTTTTCCATGAAGAAAGGAGCTTGGATTCTGCTTTTAAGCTCCACAGTAATTTGCCACATGTAAGAATACTTATTGTTTAGTAGAACTAGTAACCAAGGAACACTTTAGTGTGGGAAGATGATCCCATTTCAAGAGCTACATAAAAGGAATTTGATAAGAAAAAGAATTGTAGAAATGCCACAAATAGCTGGTTGCTAGCCAACCAATCTAGTGGAGAAGGCATTGAATGTAGAATTTCGATACAATAGAACTCATCTTTTTCCAAAACTAACCCCCCCCCCCCTCTACAACACTAAATACAACAATAGATAAGGGTACAGATCAAAACTAAAATAAGTAGAAAAGCAAAAAGATAGCAACACCTCATAACAATAATGATACAAACCATGGAAGGAATTGAAACTAGGGAATTTAAATGCCGATGACCCAGTAGCTGAGATGGTCACTTGGCATCCCTCCATAATATGGAGGCACAGGATCAAACCCACATATCTGCAGTCTCTCCATGGTAAAATCAGTGGACTTCACGTGCACCCTGCTCTGACCCTATCCCTTTCCTCCCCAACCAAAAAAAAGGGAGTTAAAATGACTGAAAATAGCTGCAAGGTCCAACAAAAATTTGCGAGAGAAATAATCCATGGATCTCTTAAAAGTACCAATGCCCATGGAAAAAGAACAGTGAGAAAAGAAAGGTTTTTGCCAAATGGTGAATGCCCATGGAAAAGATAGGAACAATGCCCATTTAGCCGACCCCATATAGTTGGGATAAAGCTTAGATGATGATGGTGATTCCTATTTCTATAGTTAAAAGATAGGAACAACAGGACACAGAGAGGGGCCCAAGAACTGGGATCACAGAAAGGATTTTGCAAGTGATGAATGCCCATGGAAAAACCAAAGAAAGAAATAATAAAAGAATCAAGATTTACTTCTACGTTCCTATTTCTATAGCAAAAACATAGAAAACAAGGACACAATAGAAGAACCCAAAAACTGGGATCGCAAGCCAGAGAAAGTGCTAAAAACGAAAACAAAATACAAACAAAGATGATGACAAAGGAAGGTGGAATTAAAAAGCATATGAGCTTCTTTTGCCCCTTACTTTGCATGGCCTGTGGATAACTCCGCAAAGATCTGAAGTAATATCAGACTTCAATATGCATTTAGGATGTAAAATTTTGGTTACTGTTGATACCCCCCCCCCCCCTTCTTAATGAACAGTCACCAGAATTGACAGCACAAAGGCCCGCCAAAACAAGAGAACAACTCCAGTGGTTTATTAACCAAATCAAATCCAAATCTAGAATTAATATTTCATGCTCATGCTTTATAAAAAGAAAATAACAAAGCAAGAAATATTTACTCTGTATAAAGCCTCAAAAGTGGAGACAGCAGTGACAACAGGAAAAAGAAAAAATGATTGAAAACTACAGGAGTTGCATCAAACCAAATTAAGAGGGTAAAGAATTAAGGATTCCAAAGTCCAAGCAGAAGGCCTCTTACCAGCAGAATACCCGTTAGGAAGGTTCACCAGAGCACCCAAAATCTGATTCTTTGAATTGTCCACTATCTCCTTACTACGACCACGTCCATAGCAGGGAACAAGGACAGCAAAGCTGCTCTCTGCTTCATCGTCACTCAGGAAATCAGGGGCATGTGGCTCCAACCACCCAATAGACCAGTCTGAATCGTCTGATTCAGATCCCGACAAGCATCCACCATCGGATGGAACCAAAACCACGTCATATTCCCTGTCAATTCTCCGTTCTTCTCGGCTGTGCCATTTCCGTTTAGTCCTCCTCGGTGTGGATGGTATCTTTCCGCCCATAACAGAGGGGAACTTCACCGAATCCGGTTCCCGCATCCCCAAATCAGATGAAGAATTCAGAGAAGAGCCAGAAGATACAGTGGGCTCATGATCCTTCCCACCCCACAACCACCAAGAAAACCGAGTGAAGGCTACAGCCATTTTACGGAGCCAGTGGGGTGCAAAGAAAACAAAAAACTGGCAAAGCTATGAAGCGATTCGGAACGGGAAGCCCGAGAACAAGGATTTATTGAGAAAGAATGTAAATAATTCCAGCTTGTTTGAAGCAAACAAATTAGGTGGAAACAACTAATGAACAAATGGGATGATCTAACATATAAATCGAGGCAGGAATAGACAAGATGGATGGAAAAAACAGAGATGACCGTAGAGCAGCAAAAAAACCTGTATTTAGAAAACTCTAAACCAAAAAGCGAAATAATCAAACCATCATAAATGAAACAATAAGAGTTTCTAAGGATTTATCCGATCCCCCAAAAAAATATCGGCCTAAAAAGTCTATAAATCCAACTCGTTAGAACTAATAAAGACCTACCTTTTTTTCTCAAAATAAGCAAACGCAGCTTCACCGTAAAAAGAACCTCAAAAGCTAAAAATATATTGAACAGAACTGAATGGAAGAAACCAAGGAAGAGCTCAAACACGAATATCCTTCAACAAACCAGGAAAGAGATACGAAAACTAGTTCTCTCGATGCTACTGATCAAGACAATCCTAAAATCCTCGGAACGAACTCGTAAAGACAACCCATAAATATAAAAAATCAAAACTTTCGCGTTTCTTCTTAGAAACGGAACCCTTGAGGTCCTCAAATCATTCCCTCCCTAAAAACTGCCCAAATCCAGGTAGCAAAACACGCTACTTCCTCTTTGGCTCGTTCCAAAGAACTTCGAACGAGATGCGAAGATCGAAGCAAAAAATGAATGCTTGAACCCGGCGATGTTCAAGCTGAAACCGGGACTAACGGAGAGTTCCTCCAAGGCGCAATGGTGATCTCGTCCTCGAAATCACCAAACAGAATAGTAACATTTATCCGAAAAGTATACAATCACAGAGAGATCGAAAGTCGAAACCCTAGTTTTGCTCCTTTCCCCCTTCCTCTCGCTCTCTGGTTTCTGTTGAACCTGTTCTATCTCTGATCTTTTCTATCAGTTGACAGCTCGTCGACTTGACTAAATATTATTTATAGGCCCTGTTATTTTGTATTTTCATCAAGGCACATCGAACGGCTGACATCGTTCGTACTCCACATCTGACATTTGGAACCCTCTGATAGTTCCACGATTCTCCAATACTGGACATTTTATTTCATACGGAATTTATTTATTTGGATTATTGGGAGAAAATAAAAGGAAAAAGAAGGAAATTATATCTGCCACGAGGATTTGCTGACGTGGGGTTACCCGTGCCCAATCATTGCGTGTGTGCGGTGCAAGTAAATGCCACGTGTATAGTACGGTACATCGGCCGTTAGTTTTTGGTTCCCAGAGTTCCTCTTTTTTTTTTTCCCTGGGTGACAATCTTATCTGCCTTCCACTCAGTAAGAACCTAGTGCTCCTTTTGGGTAAATCCTGAGCTTTACAAATCCATCTCATACCGTATATTTAGAATATTGTGCACGGGGCCCAGATTAACGGCAGTTGACAGTTGGCAGTTGGGACCCACTTGAGATAGCTTGATATTACCGTATATTTAAAATTTTTGTATGAGGATTTAATTAACTTATTATATGTGTTTAAAAAGGTAAATTTATTGCGAATTCACATCTCCGCTCCAAACGCCCTATAGCATATCTCAGCCGTGTATTGAAAACATCTCCCATTGACAATTTTGGGAGATGGTCACAATGCACGCTGAGATGTGCATGTGGGGCGCCCTCTGTGGGGGCACAGATGTGATCTCATTTATTGCTTAATAGAAGGACGGGATTAGTCACATAACCTCCCTTTCGTGATGGCATTTATCGTCAAAACTCCTTTTAAAGAGAGAACAATATTCATTTATATTGCCCTAGATTTATTATTGTAAATTAGGGAGGACTCGTGCGATGCAGGAATTATGTTAAACGAAAGTTAAATAATAGAAATAGATAAGAATAGATAATTGTTTTATAATTTAATTTTAAATAATTAATAATTATTTATATTTTATATATTATTTTTAATATTTTTAAAGTGTTCATCAGACTGATTTCATTTAAGGATGTTCATCTAATTGATGCAATTGATCTAACTTGATCCGAGTTGGTTATTTTTTAGTATTTTTGGCCAAATTTGGTTCAGCAATTTCCCAACCCAACCAAATTAGATTAGTTTTGGTTTGGCCATTTATAAATCAATCAAAATTGAACCAAACCAATTATAAATATATATATATATATATATATATATATTTTACATTTAAAATATAATTTTTTAATATAAAAGTAAGAAAATTTCCACATTTCTTAGTCTAAAATATTTTATATTGTAAACTTAAAATTTTAAATTATTCTTTCAATAATATCATCATATTTTTTAAATGTAATCTGATTTTTTAAGTTTAAATCTTTTGAACCGACCAATCAAATTGAAAACCAGCCAAAATCGATACCAATGTTTTCAACCTGCCATTGACCCGACAGGTTGAACCATTTGAATTGCCACCCGACCTTGAAAACTGCCCTTTGGTCAAAAATCGTTGACTTGGTAAAAAACAGCCCAACCTGGAGGGTTCAACTATTGACCCATTTGACCCGGTCACTGGGTTATAGGTTGCATACCTAATGCATGTGCAAACTTCCGGAGGCCATAACTTTGCACTCCGATATTTGAATGAAGTGATTTTTTTTATTTTACATAACTTTTCAAGATCTATGTGTCCTAAGGTGTTGTAGGTGCCTTGCCTTGCTATTTTTGCGAAAAGACCATTTTTTGTCCTTAAATTCAATTTTTAACATTTTTTATAAAATCAAATTAAAATATAAAATAATACATATATTATATGTTAAACACAATTATACACTATTTATATATAAAATATGTATTTGCACACATACGTACATATATACACATAAATATATGTATATAAATATATACTTATTTAAATATATAGTGTAGACGTGGAATGGTCAAACCTGTTTGACCAGGATGGTTGGACCGGTGACCACAATCCATATGCAAAAGCAGGTTGGTCTTCAGGTTGGTTTTTAGGACATTTACCAATACAACTCGAGTTGGTCATTTAGTAACCAACTCCCCAACTTGACCAAATCAGTTTGGCTGGCCAAACAATCTGCAACCGATCTAAACCACCTAGTGAACACTCATAATTTCAGTTAAATTGATAGTCCAATCTCTAACAAATAACAAGAGTTTAATCTCTAATAATTATTTAAAATTTATAGTGAAAATACAATAAATAACTAATAAAGCTTCAATACCTTTAAGTTATTTAATCTACCTTCACTATTTTAATAATATTTAAATTTTATCAATTATTTATATTTTAAATACTCATTGTCGAATATTATTAAATCTATTATAATTAATTTTTTCTTTGATAAATTTTTAAAGTTATAACATAATTTCATTATTTAATATATTTTGTGTTTTTAAATAATGTTTAAAATATAATTTCATAATAATTTTTTTATATTTAGAACATTTAAAAATAAGTTATTTAAAATATTATTTGGTAATTTTTTAAACTATTTATATTATATATTCTTATTAAAAAATATTATTAAATCTATTACAATAATTTTTGTGTTTTGGATAATTTTTTAAATTTATAAAATGATGTCATTATTTAACCTTTTTTGTTTTTGAAATAATATATAAAATATAATCTAGCTATTAATTGTTTGATATTTAAAGTATTTGAGAATTATTTATTTACAATATTATTTAATTATTTAAATAAAACCATTATTTAATTTTTAAAATATTAATTATTTATTAAATGTAGTAATCCATAAAATTATAATTTGTACTATTAATACATAATTTCGTTATTAATTTTGTAAAATATAAGATTATTATAAATTCAAATATTATGAAATCTATTATAATTGTTTTTCTACTCTTAAGAAATTTTTAAATTTATTACATAATTTCGTTATTTTAACTATTTAAAATTTAGTTATGTTAAATATTTTAGTAATATGTAATATATTTAATTTTTTTTGGTTATTTAAATTTTATTTCCTTTAAATTTACTATGTAATTTTAAATATTTTGTTATACAATTATTTAGATATTTTTAGTATGTTGTTATGTAAAATATTTAGTTGTTGAAATATTTAAATAGTATTTTATTCTCTAATTTTAATTTATATTATTTGAATAACTTAAATAATTATTTATATTTTAAATTTTTAGTTATTAAATTGAAAAATTCATAAAATTATAATTTATATTGTTATTACATATTTATGGATTTCATAAAAATATAAAATTATTAATAATATGAGTATTATTAAATCTATTATAATTATTTTTGTGTTTTTAATAAATATTTTAGAATTATTACATAATTTCATTATAAAATTTAAATAATTATTAAAATTTTTAATTGAAACTTTCTTTAGATAGATATAAATGAAAAGTAGGGGAGAGGATAAATAGGAATTAGAGATCATTTAGGAGATAAATAGGAGTTAGTGATAGAGATAATTTTTTAGAAATTGGGGGATAGTTAGTATCCAAATAAAAAGGAGAGGAAAAAGGGAGATAAGCCATGCTAAGGTGGCAACTCCATGGGCTTCTAAAGGCAATTTTGAACCCTCTCTAGAATTTCTCCATTAAGGTAATAGAGCAAGGAGAGGCCATCCAGCGGAGCATGTTCTACTTTAATATATACTATCGCACGGGATGGGGCATTTCTACCTGTCCCTCGCCCCCGTGGTCAAGACACTCTACCCCATCCCTGCCCCATCCTCGGTAGTGGGGTGGGTTTGAGACGAGGCATTCATTCCCTATTGGGGATAGGGAATCCCCAAAATTTTCCCACCCTAAGGCAACCACCTAAAAATAATCTAATTTGTGAATATTTTACAAACAGGATTATGGAAATTTAGGGGTATTTTTTAAATGGAATTGTGGCATAATAGGATTATAAGAATATGAGGAAAATGTAGAGATATTTTAAAAATCAACATTAAATCTATAGATATTTTACTAAGTTACCATCAGGTTTGGGGAATTATATGCAAACCCCATCCCTAATTTGGAGAAAAACTATTTTTCCCGTCCCACCCTATCTCTTCACCATCCCTATTTAAAATTCGAGAAAACTTGCCCCATTCAGGGTGGGGTAGGGTAGGGCCCTAGTTTTATAGGGAAAATTTTCATCCCTACGATTCTAATAATTTTCTATAACTAATTAACTAATAGTGAATTAAATAACAATATATTATAATATTTTATGATAGTTTCCAAAAATTATTGAAATTGTTGTTGATTAGCAAACATGTACAGTGAATTAGTTATTTATAATAACAATAAATTAATATGAATTAATGTAAATTATTTACTTTTAAGCCTAAATTATTTACTATTAATCAATATGATGTAATTATAGTAAATTAATGTAATTATGGTTAATTACATTAATTTTAATTAAAAGTAAATCATTTGTTGTTAATTAATGCAAAACCAAGAGTGGTTGAAGTCAACCAAGTGGTCTAGACCGGTGTGGATAGATTTAATAATTTTCCTAAATTATTTCATAAAATAATAATTTTGGATTGTTAATTAAATAAATATGAAATAATTCTTGATAGATTAATTTCCAATTTTTTTAATAATTATTTAGTTGAATAATAATAATGGACTATTATTTAAATAGTTTTGGATGATGTTTTTTTGTAGATTAATTTCCCATTTTTTAATTATTATTTATTTAAAAATTATGGATTATTAGTTAAAGAGTTTCCTTGAATTATTTGATAATTTTAACTATAATTATTCTTTATAGAAATTAGTAAATTATGCTAATTAGTAATATATTTTTGAATAAATAATTGTTGTAAAAATTTAATGAAAATTTATCAAATTAAAATGATTAATGTAAATTACGCTAGACATTAAAAATTTGAACATTTATTAATTAACCAAATGTTAGTTTTCACTAATGGTTGGTCGGTTTTGAGTGACCAACTCCCTAACCCAACCAAATCAGT